AGAACCCAGGTCCGGTTGTTTTCGGGCTCTAGGCGAAGGCTTGCTCATTTCTGCATGACAGCGGCGTTCAGGTGCTAGACGGATTTATTGGAATCTAATGATTATTTCCTTTTTTTGACAGACAGGGAGCTGATGGAAAAGAGAAAATGCTCGGCTCGCAGCTGTTAATTAGCGCATGCTAATGCTCACCAATCAGACGCTCGCGTTTCAGCGCCGCCTTTTCAGCGCGTGTTATTCGACTTCTTTTGTGCGGCTTTGACAGGAAATTAGATGACTTGTCTCTGTTTGAACTTTTCACGAAGGCGTGAAAGTGGAGGAAAGTGGAGGAGGGACAGCAGACATAATTATCTCAGTTGTACAAGTCTGCTAGCAAGGAAATTTCATTATTAAAGGCCTATTTGATGCCAAAACTATTACACTAAAATTCAGGCTTTCTTAAATAGCACTATATTTAATATAGTCGATGTCTAAAGTTTCCTCAAACCTTCTCATTTGCTTTACTTTTTTATTATTTTTGATTATTTTCGCATATCTCAAGGTGTTTCACATCATAGTTTTTAGCCATTTATCATTAACAAGCTAAAACAAGTTAATTCCTGTTATCACTTGCGTTATCATTCAGCTTTACCTGACACTGGAGACTCCTTCCAAAAATGTCAAATAAATGTCTCCTCACAGAAGACTTGACTATATCAGTAATTACATGCTTTTTTTTATTGTGGAGCATCCATCATACGTACAAGTCTATATGAATTAGCTTTTAATGCACTAATCTACACCTGTGATTTGTGGCTGCACTACTGTCAGAGCTGCGGTTACAGAAAATTAATCAACACCTTCTGACCAATCAGATTGAAGAATTTAACAGCGCTGTGGTAGAATTTTCTTTCATGACCACCTCATGCTTGTTCACATCTAGAAAGACAGATTAATATTAACCTAGCATAAATACACACACAAATTCATGCCATTCTTTCGTCATGTCCGATATTTTAGAGGAGCATCTGCTATGTTTTGACTTGCAGGATCTTGATTAGATCAGACTGTAGCTGTACGTTGCTCTCGCTGGCTGACGAGGCCAGAGAAAACAAGCGCTGCTTCCCTGACAGACGCTGCCATCGCGCTGAGCCCTAATGTAATTTCCTCTGAAATATGAAATGCTGGATGCTTGTCTCCAGGGAAAAGCAGGGCAGATATTACAGGCTAAATGCACTCTCCTGTGCTCTAATCTCCAAACCGCTCTGCTTAAATCTGGAGGCTCAGCAACGGATGCTGATTGGGTTTGAAGATAGCAGTCCGTTTTTACAGTAATGAGGTACACGAGGTACATGATTAGTCACAAAGTAAGAGAGTTTGGCTTGATTTTTGCTGAGTGGTGTCTCAGTACATTTCATTAGCTGCCTGATTCAAAAAATTCTTGAGGTAACATGAGTCTATGAGGGATATATTTTGCCAAAATAGGAACCTAGCTAATAAGTTTAGGTTAGCACAATGGTTTTTCCAGGAATTTTGGGAAAATCTCAAAGTTTTCTACTTGTTCTGTGAACCTTCTATGTAATAATTGCTGCAAAAACATTGGGCCTCATTCATCAATCACAACAGTAAAGTTGTTATGTCAGTGTTTGCATAAGCTGGATTTACAAGCTTCATAAATGCTGATTTTCTTCGTATTCATGTGTGTATGTTGATAAATGGCATTCACCCATAAATTACTGCCCATGTGCACACCACAGCTGATTTGTTTGTGGTGACGCCCACAAACCTCCATAAAAAGGCCAAGTTCACAGAGCGGAAAGCACAAATTGGAGAAGAAGCCAAAAGGAGAAGAATTTCTCTGAGGCAGGAGCTAAAGTACTTTTGACTCATGTCTACGAGAAAATTTTTTTTTTTTCGTAGCATATACAGCAGAATCACAGCACCTGAAAAGACCAAAATATGGAGAGAAATTATGGAGGTGAATTCTGTTTTGTCCATCCAGCGCAATATAATTGAGGTCAAAAGACAATGGTTTGACACAAAAACTCAGTCAAAAAAGTATTACTGCTAATCGACAGTTTCTCAAAGCTTTTTTTTTTTTTTTTTAAATTGAGCAGATGCCATGACAAACAGAGTCAATTTATAAGCCAGCTTTCATCCTCAGGAAAAAAAAAAAAAAAAAAAATCATACAGGTCTCTAAATATCCATTGCCTCTTAAGGGCATCATGTGATAACTCTTCCAGTAATATCAATTCTTCTATTTGCACCACCTCGGCTTACAGCTACCATCTGCACAGAATAGCACATCATCCTTTGTATATTTCATTTGTGTGTATTTGAAATAAACTGACAGTGAACTTGACAGCGTAATCCGTATATAAAAATGCAGTAACTCATCGCAAATTATACGATTCAAAGTTGATCAGTAGATCAGTTACATTAGTTAGTCTTCTTATGCATAAATTTACACAGACTCAGGAGCAGGAATAAGATATGAATGTTTTTCCAAATGTACATTTATGTATATGCATATTTGCTCATGTGAACGATTTAAGCATAAATACGCATTCATATCCAGCTTGATAAATTAGGCCCAATGTTGGAATATTAATGCAAACAATTCCATAAAGTTAGTTTATAGCTAACTAGGACTAGGCAGTTGTGTAATTCATGCTGTGTAAAACATGGATGGATGCTCTGATAATGTTCTCTGTTAGCTGGAAATATATATTATTTGTATCCATTTTAATTATTGCCAGTTGTGTGAAAGTGACAGCTAACACACAGAAAAAATAATAATTCATGGATAAGCGTATTTAAATTTAGTGCAGAATTTCCACTGTAT